TCACGAAAAACAATGCTGCTCTTTTGTTTAGTAGGAAGAAGATATATCGTCGACGTGGCCCTCAAAAGTGTACACTGTTTCCAGACATGAAAAAAAAAAACAGCGCCTGCTGCCCTGCTGCTGTAGCAGGAGCCCCAATCCATGCTGCTAACATGCCCATCCCCAGCCCCATCGGAGGTGTGTTCTATCTAGGCGCCCGCAAGGGAATAACAGCAATGCTCTGCCTGATACGAGGTTCGCTGAAAAACATAGCACGCGTGCGTGGTCGCAGCCAGCAAAACCCCCTTGCCTTCCGCGGCGGGTGAAACGCGCCCACATCACCCCAGAGAGTTTGTATTTTTTGCGGTTGATTTTGCGTCTTCTTCGAAAACGTGTTGTGCCGTGTGCAACTTGAACTCCTCTGCTGCCGCTGTTAAGGGTACGCGAGGCTTGCGTGCGGGAATTCCGTTCCATTCTCTCTCTCTGTCGAAGATCATCGCCGGGTGACAGCTGCTGTGATTCTTTTTGCGTTCGTTGGTTTGTGGCGTTTTTGAGCCGAAACCGAGGACATTGATGAGGTTGAAGTCTTGGTGCGGTTCAAGATCCAGACAACCATTTCTACACCTACGCCACAGAGGTGCCACCTGCGCTGATCGCACGCATGTGCTAGCCCCAACGGGCGCATGCCTTGCGCAAATACCCCACAAAGAGAACGTTTGTTTGGGAGCTTTGAAGCGATTATGGGTGCTGTACCGCGTGTTTGTGTTTGTCCCCCACAAAAAATTCGAAATGTACGGAATTTTTTCACAGATCCCCGTCATCGCTCGACAAGGACAGACAAGTTGTTTTGTTTTCGCCACCGTCACAAGCGAGAGAAAAGCGGTGCTCAAGGTACTCAAGCAGAAGTGGCAAAACGGCGGAATAAGTTTACCCACTCACGTATCGCAGTATGTCGACAACGACCGGGACGTTGTGTGAGGCTGACATCAGCAGCGGGGGGGGGAGCGGAGTGATACACTTGACAAACAGTAGTCTAACAACCAAAGAGGGCCCAAAACACCGAGCAGACTTCGACCTTCAGCTCTC